GAAGCACTTCCTCAGTCTCCCCTCCCCCAGTGAGCAGTCTGCTGCAGGCAGGAAGAAGCACTTCCTCAGTCTCCCCTCCCCCAGTGATCAGCCCGCTGCAGGCAGGAGGAAGCATTTCCTCAGTCTCCTTACTCTTATGATGGTGTCATCTCTGAGCCGGCATCTCAGTCCAGGAAGTAGGTGGTGACCCTGGATGATGCCTGAACAGAGATGGCGCCGTCGTTCTGGAGGGAAAATCAGATGAAGGCATTGTCGGGGGAGTCCGGTGATCTCTGCGAGAGGGAATACCTGGAATCTGGTAACAGTTTTATAATCGCTGGAAACTTTGTCTCCTGTCACCAGATTCTGATCTTACACCGAGCTCCCAAATTCCGACTTCCCCTGTCAAAGTTTTATGAGGGAACAGCAGAGCACAACCGGGGCAGAGCGGGGGAGGGGGGGGGATCTTACACTCTAATGCCCCTCCCCCCACCAGTCACACACTATTATACATGTACATAGCTCTGACATATACCACAGCGCTGTACAGAGTTCCGTACACCTGAAAGCGACGCACACACACAAGCATAGAAGACAGTGCGTCCCTGCTCGGCACTGAACTGGAAACGCCGGCGCTGCGAGAGAAGCCGGATTATGATTTGTGGCGTCACGCAGTATCGGCTCCTCTGAGTCATCGTGATGAGACTTCCTCCCCTCCTGACAGACCTGAGAGACGGCCATTATCAGCGCACTGAGACTCCGCCCACATTTCACAATCTAAATCAATGTCTCCTGAACACAGCGATCTGCAGTAAGGTCACAGAGGTGGGAGGAGCCATCAGAGACCCCTCCCCTTCTCATTGATTTATGACATGTGTACGTTATATCCGCATGAAAATATAAATCCGAATTCCGTATGCGACACCTCAGGTGATCCGAAATCCGAAAATTATATGTATACATTGTATCCGTACCGGAATATAAATCCTGACCCCGCCATGTATGTGACCCAATATCACTATACAGAGGACGGAGTATGATATGTATACATTGTATCCGTACCGGGATATAAATCCTGACCCCGCCATGTATGTGACCCAATATCACTATACAGAGGACGGAGTATGATATGTATACATTGTATCCGTACCGGGATATAAATCCTGACCCCGCCATGTATGTGACCCAATATCACTATACAGAGGACGGAGTATGATATGTATACATTGTATCCGTACCGGGATATAAATCCTGACCCCGCCATGTATGTGACCCAATATCACTATACAGAGGACGGAGTATGATATGTATACATTGTATCCGTACCGGGATATAAATCCTGACCCCGCCATGTATGTGACCCAATATCACTATACAGAGGACGGAGTATGATATGTATACATTGTATCCGTACCGGGATATAAATCCTGACCCCGCCATGTATGTGACCCAATATCACTATACAGAGGACGGAGTATGATATGTATACATTGTATCCGTACCGGGATATAAATCCTGACCCCGCCATGTATGTGACCCAATATCACTATACAGAGGACGGAGTATGATATGTATACATTGTATCCGTACCGGGATATAAATCCTGACCCCGCCATGTATGTGACCCAATATCACTATACAGAGGACGGAGTATGATATGTATACATTGTATCCGTACCGGGATATAAATCCTGACCCCGCCATGTATGTGACCCAATATCACTATACAGAGGACGGAGTATGATATGTATACATTGTATCCGTATGATAACAGAAGTCCTGACACAGACAGGCCATCACCCCGGATCCTCTACCACAGGGGCCCCCTCCCCCAGCAGGGCACTGCTCCCAGGCCCGGTGTCCCCAACAAGATCAGAGTGTAATATGTATACATTGTATCCGTACCGGGATACAAGTCCTGACCCTGCCGTGTATTATATGGAGAGAGAACACAGGTGACCCAATGTCACTATACAGAGGACGGCGTATGATATGTATACATTGTAACCACATGACAATATAAATCCTGACCCCCCGCCGTGTAACATACAGAGCACAGGTGACATGTGATCACTTATACAGAGAGTCCCCTTCTATCTAATACAGAACGCATCGTATGTATACATTGTATCCATCCCATAATATAAATCTGGACTGTGCCGTGTAATACAGGTGAAACTCGAATAATAATAATATCGTGCAAAGTTCATTTATTTCACTAATGCAACTTATGCGGTGAAACTAATATATGAGAGAGACTCATTACATGCAAAGCAAGATAGTTCAAGCCGTGATTTGTCATCATTGTGATGATTATGGCTTACAGCTCATGAAAACCCCAAGAACCCCAAATCCACAACCTCAGAAAAGTAGATTATTACATGCAATCAATAAAACAAGGATTGTACATAGAACAATATCAGACCTCTGAAAAGTACAAGCATGCATATGTACTCAGTACTTGGTTTGGGCCCCTTTTGCAGCAATTACTGCCATTACTTTTGCACGATATTCTAATTATTCGAGTTTCACCTGTATGTGGAGAGAGACCACAGGTGACATGTGATCACTTTACAGAGATCCCCTCTCATAGAGATCAGAGTGTGATATGTATACATTGTTATCCGTACCGGGATATAAATCCTGACCCCGCCCCCCCAGAGATCAGTGTATGATATGTATACATTGTATCCGTACCGGGATATAAATCCTGACCCCGCCCCCCCAGAGATCAGAGTGTGATATGTATACATTGTATCCGTACCGGGATATAAATCCTGACCCCGCCCCCCCAGAGATCAGTGTATGATATGTATACATTGTATCCGTACCGGAATATAAATCCTGACCCCGCACAGTGTATGTGACCCCAGGTGACCCATCATCACTTTACAGGGAACATGGTGTATGATATGTATGTATATATACACATACATACATACATACATACATACATACATACATACAATAGGTTGGACTTGATGGACTTAGGTCTTTATTCAACCTCAAATAGTATCCATACATGAACACAGGACGTGACCCCGCAGAGTTCTATACAGAGACAGAGGTGACATGTGATCACTATACATGGAACATGGTGTATGATATGTATACATACATGCATTCATACATACATACATACATACATACATGAACACAGGACATGACCCCGCAGAGTTCTATACAGAGACAGAGGTGACATGTGATCACTATACAGAGATTCTCCTTCTCATACAGAACGCATCGTATCTATACATTGTATCCATCCCATAATAAGAGTCCTGACCCCGCCGTGTGTTGTATGGGGAGACCGCAGGCGAGACATTGTTACTATTCATCTTCCATCACACAGAGATCAGAATATATTATATATGAGGACACCGGACACCCCCGAGTAATGTATACAGAGTGACCCCCAAATCATCCAATGTCACCCCACATAGACTCCCCCCCACCCAGAGATCAGAGTGTGATATGTATACATTGTATCCGTACCGAGATACAAGTCCTGACCCCGCCGTGTATTACACTGATAAAGTCCTGACACAGACGGGCCATCACCCCGGATCCTCTACAGCAGGGGCCCCCCTCCCCGAGGCCCCCCTCCCCCAGCAGGGCACTGCTCCTAGGACCGGTGTCCCCAACAGAACCTGTTACAACTCCGGACTGACAACCAGTAAGAGCAGAGTACACAGAGACAGGGGGGAGAGAGGGAACAGTGCATTCCTGGGGGGGCCCCCTGTAGAGTGCAGTGTCAGAGTTCTGGGGGGCCCCTGTGGAGTGCAGTGTCAGTTCTGGGGGCCCCCCTGTGGAGTGCAGTGTCAGTGCTGGGGGCCCCCCTGTGGAGTGCAGTGTCAGAGTTCTGGGGGCCCCCCTGTGGAGGGCAGTGTCAGTGCTTGGCCCCCCTGTGGAGTGCAGTGTCAGAGTTCTGGGGGCCCCCCTGTGGAGTGCAGTGTCAGTGCTGGGGGGCCCCCCTGTGGAGTGCAGTGTCAGTGCTGGGGGGCCCCCCTGTGGAGTGCAGTGTCAGTGCTGGGGGGCCCCTGTAGAGTGCGGTGTCAGAGTCCTGGGGGCCCCTGTAGAGTGCGGTGTCAGAGTCCTGGGAAGAGTTACAAGGTATCGGAGGGAAGTTTCGGTGTCTCTGTGTTTTCCTTCTGCCGGGAAGTTCGGCAGTAATTCCCCCATGACGGGCTCCTGAGGGCCCGGGGCCCCGCACTTAGAACAGCGGAGGGTCTCTTACCTTGGCAGGTTCTTGTCCCGCTGGTCTGTCTCTTCCTGGCTCTCCTGGCTGTCTCTGGGAAGTCAGGAAGAGGAGAAACTCCACCCACAACTGAGAGACATTCCTCAGCCTGACCCAGCCCTGCCCCTCCCCTACTGCCAGAGGGTGTGCGACCTGCAATGTGCTCCCGACTACACCACACCGAGTGCAACACACAATACACTCCCCTCTACACCACACCAAGTGCAACACACAATACACTCCCCTCTACACCACACCGAGTGCAACACACAATACACTCCCCAACAAACTACAACTGTGTGTGACTAACAATACACTCCCCTCTACACCACAACATGTGCAACACACAATACACTCCCCTCTACACCACAACATGTGCAACACATGTGTATTACACTGATAAAGTCCTGACACAGACGGGCCATCACCCCGGATCCTCTACAGCAGGGGCCCCCCTCCCCGAGGCCCCCCTCCCCCAGCAGGGCACTGCTCCTAGGACCGGTGTCCCCAACAGAACCTGTTACAACTCCGGACTGACAACCAGTAAGAGCAGAGTACACAGAGACAGGGGGGAGAGAGGGAACAGTGCATTCCTGGGGGGGCCCCCTGTAGAGTGCAGTGTCAGAGTTCTGGGGGGCCCCTGTGGAGTGCAGTGTCAGTTCTGGGGGCCCCCCTGTGGAGTGCAGTGTCAGTGCTGGGGGCCCCCCTGTGGAGTGCAGTGTCAGAGTTCTGGGGGCCCCCCTGTGGAGTGCAGTGTCAGTGCTGGGGGGCCCCCCTGTGGAGTGCAGTGTCAGTGCTGGGGGGCCCCCCTGTGGAGTGCAGTGTCAGTGCTGGGGGGCCCCTGTAGAGTGCGGTGTCAGAGTCCTGGGGGCACCTGGAGAGTGCGGTGTCAGAGTCCTGGGAAGAGTTACAAGGTATCGGAGGGAAGTTTCGGTGTCTCTGTGTTTTCCTTCTGCCGGGAAGTTCGGCAGTAATTCCCCCATGACGGGCTCCTGAGGGCCCGGGGCCCCGCACTTAGAACAGCGGAGGGTCTCTTACCTTGGCAGGTTCTTGTCCCGCTGGTCTGTCTCTTCCTGGCTCTCCTGGCTGTCTCTGGGAAGTCAGGAAGAGGAGAAACTCCACCCACAACTGAGAGACATTCCTCAGCCTGACCCAGCCCTGCCCCTCCCCTACTGCCAGAGGGTGTGCGACCTGCAATGTGCTCCCGACTACACCACACCGAGTGCAACACACAATACACTCCCCTCTACACCACACCAAGTGCAACACACAATACACTCCCCTCTACACCACACCGAGTGCAACACACAATACACTCCCCAACAAACTACAACTGTGTGTGACTAACAATACACTCCCCTCTACACCACAACATGTGCAACACACAATACACTCCCCTCTACACCACAACATGTGCAACACACAATACACTCTAGTTCGGCAGTAATTCCCCCATGACGGGCTCCTGAGGGCCCGGGGCCCCGCACTTAGAACAGCGGAGGGTCTCTTACCTTGGCAGGTTCTTGTCCCGCTGGTCTGTCTCTTCCTGGCTCTCCTGGCTGTCTCTGGGAAGTCAGGAAGAGGAGAAACTCCACCCACAACTGAGAGACATTCCTCAGCCTGACCCAGCCCTGCCCCTCCCCTACTGCCAGAGGGTGTGCGACCTGCAATGTGCTCCCGACTACACCACACCGAGTGCAACACACAATACACTCCCCTCTACACCACACCAAGTGCAACACACAATACACTCCCCTCTACACCACACCGAGTGCAACACACAATACACTCCCCAACAAACTACAACTGTGTGTGACTAACAATACACTCCCCTCTACACCACAACATGTGCAACACACAATACACTCCCCTCTACACCACAACATGTGCAACACACAATACACTCCCCACCAAACTACAACTGTGTGAACACACAATACAGTCTCTCTACACCAAGTGCAACACACAATACAGTCCCATCTATACCACAACAAGTGCAACACACAATACACTCCCCACCAAACTACAACTGTGTGCAACACCCAATACACTCCCCTCTACACCACAACAAGTGCAACACACAATACACTCACCACTAAACTACAACTGTGTGCAACACCCAATACACTCCCCTCTGCACCACAACAAGTGCAACACATAATACACTCTTCAAGAAGCTACCACTGTGTGCAACACACAATACACTCCCCAATAAACTATCACTGTGTGCGACACACAATACACTCCCCACCAGACTACCAATGTGTGCGACACATAATACACTCCCCAATAAACTACCACTGTGTGCGCCACACAATACACTCCCCACCAGACTACAACTGTGTGCAACCTGCAATAAGTTTCCTGCTGCATTACAAATGTGTGCAACCCACAATGTATTCCCCCTACACTGCCACTCTGTGGAACCTGTCATTTTCTTCCCTTCATCTTGCACTCTGTGCAACCTGTCATATGTTCCCCACTGGATTACCAGTGTGTGCAACCCATAATATATTCCTCCCTTCACCACCACTCTATCACTGCATGTAGCCTATAATATACTCCTTATCACACTGCCATTGTGCAGTATATATTCCTCCCTACAGTGTGCAACTTGTAATATAGTTCCCCACTACTCTATCACTGCATGCAGCCTATACTTTGCTCCCCAATGCACTGCCTTCTTACCGTGTGCAACCTGTAATATATTCCCCCAGATGAAATACCTGATTATCCACCAACCTGCTCTGTGCTACAGATCCTCTTACCTGTGTGTGCAACCTGAAATATATTCCCCATTAAATTCCTTTCTGTCAGACATTCCTGAGCTTGACAAAGCTGAATCTTCTTCTGCCCTTCGGTGTTTGCAACCTGTAATGTATTCCCCCAATGTAAGGCTGTGTGTGCAGTCTGAAAAATCTTCCCCTCCACAGACATTCCTCAGCCACTGCATATAATTTGCCCTTATTTAATTCCAGTGCAGCCTGCAATGTCTTCCCCAACACACATTTCTAGAACTGACATAGGTCTGTGCTTCCTGTGCACCGTGCAATGTCTTCCCTAGTACAGGCAATGTGTGCCCTCCACAATGTCTTCCCTCTGCACGCCCATTGGCACCCCCTGTGCTAATTCCTCAGTGAGCTATGAGAAGATTTTCTGGCCCCGAGCCACAAGAAAGATCTATAAATATCCCATCTATAGAAGAGGAGAGAAAACCTCACCATACATAATCCGGGGGGGCAACCCAGTACCCCGGAACACAACTTCCTAAAGTACAAACAACCCCTCTGTATATCTGTTCCAATGGCCATCTGTCATATTGTACCCCCCTTTATTCTCCCTAAGTCCCTCCTGTGTTGCACCCCCAATATTCCCACAGGTCCTTCTATTGTACCCACAATCCCCATCATCTCTCTGGTCTCCCTAAATCTCCCCTCTGTCCCACTATTGTACCCCAAATCCCACTTCATCCCTCTATTGTAGCCCAACCCCCCGTCTTTCTATCATACCCCAATCCACCATCTATCCCTCTATTGTACC